CAAAAGTGAAAGAAACAGCAAATATCTTTACTGGTTCTGTGACAAAAGCAACCTTCGAGTTGTTTGTTCATGTTTTGAACGTTACGCAAATGTAAGGAGTCACGATATATTATTACATCGTTATTTCGCTTTTTAACTGAGCCATTGCCATCTATAAACTTGCAACTGGATGTGTATTTTGAAAAAAAAAGAAGAGAGTAATACACCAAGTGAATTAACAAGGTTCTAATAATATAGGAGTATTTTGTAACTGCTGGCATGCATGTGCATTTGACAACCAGCACTGCTACATTTTGTCGGTGAAAAAGCCAGTGATGCTAGTTGCCTCAAGTTGAAGTTTCATGTGTAAGAGTAATCAATAAAGAAATAATTTTTAGCAAAAGAAATTAGCTTCTATTGTTTCTTCACTGGATATACCACGTCTGGCTTGCCATGGTGTTTGGTCACATCCGTCTAGGACAAGGTTGAGGAATTCGCCCCACCGCGGTGAATTCATGACAGAGCACTTCGGCAAGGACGAGGTTTTACTGCGTCCTGATGGGTAAATACTTTCAGGAGGTATGGTATATAGGGCATTGTTGTGAGCATCTACTGATGCATTTGTAGTAAATAAATGTGTTACGTTCATTGGATATTTATCTTCCTCTGGTCAGCCTCCTACAGCAGACACTCTTTGCATGATGAGCCCAAAGAGTGTCTGTCTAGGAGGCTTAGTTCTGGGGCTATCTGTATCATGTGTTTTTAAGGGAATTTTTGTTTGTAATTTTCTTTTTTGTTTGAGTTCTTGATTACCTGGATTTTCACCAGGAAAATAATGACTTGGCTATGTTAATCTTGTTCTGCACTTGTTGAGGTAGATTACTCTTCTTGCTGTGTTATTGTTTACCAAGCTTTTAGTACAACAATATTATGTTAGGTTTTCTAGTCCTTGTTAATACTTGTTTAGCCAGATCGAAGTTATTTTTAACTCATGAGAATTTTTTCACCATAAAGACAAATGGTGATGTCATTATTCTTTTGTTATGCTGCTGGAGAACCATATTCATTTGTTTCCCTGACAGTATGGATCAAAAAATAAAATCCATGAAAGCTATTTTCTGTTTTTAGCACCGACAACGACCTGACAATGTTGACTGATGTAATTATGCTAACCTTTTTGCGACTTGTATTGACCCCTTTTTGTAGTATCCTTTGCGATTCACAACATCTAAGTCACAGGTGCATTATGTACCTTTAACATTGAGAACAATCTTACAACAAAAATATAATGAACCAATGCACTCTAATTCTCCAAACTATAATTGCTGACTTGTTCATTCTCTGATGCATTTGTGACCTTCCATAGGAAAACACGTCTTATTGAAAACAGTGTTTTTAGAACCAACTGTTGTTTGTTTTAAAATTGTATGTAAATTTTAAATGGAATCACATATGAACGCCAGTGCTTGTATACATTCAAACCGAACTTATAAACGAATTCACAGCTGAAGATTATCATCGAAGCAAGGAAAAGTCATATCTACAAAGATATTTTTCTTTAGAGAATTGACTCGGCTTTCCTGTTTTTACGCTACACAGCGTGAAAGAGAAACATAAACTTGT